CAGGCGAATATGTTGTTATATGTAGACTAGTCTAGAACCCCCTGCTCGCCTCTATACGCTATGTGAGGTAACCATAGACTGCAAAAAAACGAAAAAGGAGCAAGAAAAAGAAGAACAACGCAAGCAACATCCATAATAAATAAACGCGAAGAACAAGACAAAGGGAAAGTCCTCTGTCGCAAGACCTCGCAGTAGGTGACCGAACAAAGCAGATCGACCACACACAGCCAACGAACTGCTTCCGGCACGCGAGGCCAAGCGGAACCAAACCAAGCAGCAAGACAACCACCGGTCACCGACGACGCTCCTTTCATCGTCGCTACATAAAAAAAGTGGAGGCCCAAAGGCTCAGGCCTAAAAAAAATGGCAAGTGCTCTAGACTACCTCTACAGATACCAGATGATATCACGGGGCCTATCCTCTCGTGCATGAGAAGTATAGAGGAAGCCCGAAAGAAAGGTACGCGCGGCAACTAAATGTCAGAAAGGACACACCGCTACTGCTACGGTTGTGTCCTTGTTGGTAGTTATGGTAGCGCAAAAATATCCGAGCTCACCTGGCCCGAAGAGTGGCGAAACATGACTCCAAAAATACATGCTTCACAATTGACCATGAAGCGCGGTCGAAAGCATGTCGCGAGAGTACTGTTGCTGTAGTAGGCAGCCAGCGAGGCACAACATGCACCGAGCACAAATTATGTAGCGCGCAATCATTAAACCACATACACTGCGAGCCGATTCCATACACCACAGCAGGCAGATGAAAGGGCAAATAACCTCTACACAACACACCGCTTAGCCATTCTTCGTCGACACACAAAATCACAAGGGTAGGTTCTGTAGGGTAAGGGTACGTTCGGTAGGGTAATGGGTCTGTCACAGAACTCACAGAAAAGTTCGGTAGGGTGCTGGGTCTGTCACAGAACTCACAGAACTATAGGGTACTGTGGTGCGCCGTCACAGAACTTGCAGAACTTTCGAGTTCTGTAAGCGAGCTGTCACAGAAAGTTCGGTAGGGTACTGGGTCTGTCACAGAACTCACAGAACTATAGGGTATTGCGGCGCGACCTTCACAGAACTCACAGAACTCGTTTGCGGGGTAGTCGAAGACAGTACCTACCCGCGGTTGTTGTTGTTGTTGTTGTCTTCACTTTACAAAACCATCCCGGTCTCTCTACCCAGTTCCTCTTTCTGTCCGATAAAAAAGTGAGCGCTGAACCAGCGGTACCCGCGTGAATTCTAATTTGTACTTGCACTTTTGTGCCTTGACCAAGAATCAAGATAAATTGAAACGTGCGCGCGTACGCACCGACCCTCGACCCCAATCCTGAACTTTCCAGGTGAAACGCGGAAGACGGTCGGCTTAGAAATCCAACTCCTGCCAAAAAAAAAGCGCAAGAAAAATGCAACGTTTCCCAGCTTTTTCTTGCTTGTCCGTCAACAATCCTACCCTCCCCACCTCCCAGAGGAAACAAAACTAAAAAATGGAAGTAAGATCAACCCTTGATCTTGAACATCACTCAGAAGCAGGGAATTTGAAGTGAAAGGAATTATAATTATATAATGATTATAATTATAATAATAATTATAATTATAACTATAATTATCGGTGCGCCCCCACGACTACCACGCGCCGACAGGCGTACAAAACCGTTCCCATTCGACGTGTCTCAGGACAACAGTGAGAAACATGATCTCCCATACAGCCCACCCCCCGACATTCAGTCTACAGGCCAATGCCGGTCGAGGTGTTGTTCACCACGTCGAAGGCGGCTTCAGCGGCCTTGAGGTCAGCGTCCGCGTCGCCGTTGAACCGTGCCGGCAGACACCTGCGGATGTCCTTATCGGCGATCTTGGGAATGTCTGGATCTGTCACAGAACTCACAGAACTATAGGGTATTGTGGTGAGCCGTCACAGAACTCACAGAACTTTCGAGTTCTGTAAGCGAGTTGTCACAGAAAAGTTCGGTAGGGTACTGGGTCTGTCACAGAACTCACAGAACTATAGGGTATTGTGGTGAGCCGTCACAGAACTCACAGAACTTTCGAGTTCTGTAAGCGAGTTGTCACAGAAAAGTTCGGTAGGGTACTGGGTCTGTCACAGAACTCACAGAACTATAGGGTATTGTGGTGAGCCGTCACAGAACTCACAGAACTTTCGAGTTCTGTAAGCGAGTTGTCACAGAAAAGTTCGGTAGGGTACTGGGTCTGTCACAGAACTCACAGGAAAGTCGGTAGGGTGCTGGTTCTGTCACAGAACTCAGAACTTTAGGTTATTGTGGTGAGCCGTCACAGAACTCACAGAACTTTCGAGTTCTGTAAGCGAGCTGTCACAGAAAAATTCGGTAGGGTACGGGGTCTGTCACAGAACTCACAGAACTTTCGAGTTCTGTAAGCGAGCTGTCACAGAAAAATTCGGTAGGGTACGGGGTCTGTCACAGAACTCACAGAACTTTCGAGTTCTGTAAGCGAGCTGTCACAGAAAAATTCGGTAGGGTACGGGGTCTGTCACAGAACTCACAGAACAGTTCGGTAGGGTGCTGGGTCTGTCACAGAACTAACAGAACTATAGGGTACTGTGGCACGACCTTCACAGAACTCACAGAACTCGTCTGTGGGTACCCTACAGAACCTACCCTTGCAAAATCATGCTCACGCGACGATGACGATAGTTCGGTAAATGTCGTGGCGCGCACAAAAACCCCGACGACCCGCTCAGCTAATACCAGCGACGTTTTCTGCACAAAACCTTGACTTGGCACGCCCACACCACCACGATGAACAAACATCCCGCTCCATAGAACAGCCTGCCGGATCTGCACCGAAAAAACGAACCCTGAAGCAAGGAAAACAACGTCCAAGCAGACAGTACCAAATATCACACAAGCCCGAAAGGACGTCATGTCCAACGTGTGAAACAAAAAAACAAATGCGACGGGAACATCTCGCGGGGAGGCGGTTCACGTAAGTAACCGTCCAACTTCGCCCTTGCCCTCGCAATACCGTCCCCGGAGTCGAGATATCAAACGGCCCCATCACACTCATTCAGGGACTCGGGAGAGTTCATCAAGGCTCAACCTCCGCATCATCACGCAATGGACTGCGAGACACCAAGAAAGGGGTCGTACACCCGGACGGGAGAGAGGCCCCTTCACTATAAGGTGCGCCCCCAGTGCACGCCTTGGCTATTGGTTGCGCCACCACGGAACAATATCGCGACCGTCGCGTGGCATAAAAGATCTACCAACCTAGAATTTGTGGCGTTCTCTGGATTTAAGCGGAGGGGAACCGCTGCAATGCAACATCCGCGCGACTCAATCCACCCCTGAATCGAGCTAGCACCGGGAACAGGCCACGCCGTAAACTGCTGTACACGGGGAAACCTCATCGATTCCACCGCGCGCATCGGACAGAAGTAAACGACGGCACCGCTCTTCAGAGACGCTACCCCGGCATGCACCCTGCCGCTTCAGCACCAGTGAACGTACGTTGCTCGCTCGCGCAGCAGCCGTCGTATCAGGACCGCAGAAGCAAGACGGAGCAGGTGGCCCCCGCAACGAAGCCCGAGCACAGGAACGCCGCTACCCACCAACCCTTCGACCGCGGGAGCCCCGCCAAGCCCTCGTACCGCGCACCCCGTCCGCAAGCCCACCGGCTGTACTTCCCAAGGCTAAACCCGACCGCCCCTACCGCCGCCGCCACCAGCAAGCACAGCAGAACCAGCCCTCCCGACGCCCGGCCGGCGTCCTGCAGCCCGTGGGGACCCCGCCCTCCTTCCATCTGCTGGCCCCCTTCCTCCGTCGTCATCTGCATGTCCGCGGCACCGCCTTCTTCGCCAAAGCTGGCGGCCTTGCCACCGAAGTCGTCGTCTGAATCGTCTTCCGAATCGTCATCATCGTCCGAATCGTCGTCCGAGGAGGAGGAGGAGGAGGAGGAGTCGGTGCAATCACAGCCGGCGGTGATGCTGCCGTCGCGGCGCTCCCGTCTTGCCTCGGCAAGGCTGGCGAACCACTTGGAGCTGTCCTTGGGGTACCGCGCCAGCCCGTTGTCGTAGTCGACGTAGGTCAGCCCGAACCGGGGCCTGTAGCCGTCAGACCACTCAAAGTTGTCCAGGATAGACCACGCTGCGGGGGGTGGGTGCATGAGAACGCGGCGGGAAGGGTAGTAAAGGAGCCGCAGCAGCAGCAGCAGCAGCAGCAGCAGCAGCAGCAGCAACAACAACACCTCAAATGTTGTAATCGTTTGGGTCTGTGTTGGGGCCGAAAGAACTGGTACAAGACAGACCTCGCCGTTGCACAACTCCGGGCAGGAGCTACTGCCAAGGCGGAGGGATAGATGGCGAAGTCTAGGCCATTGGGCGACGGAAAGCCGACAACAATGTCGGACACGTGTGAACCACGGCCGTGAAGGGAAGGAGGGCCAGAGGGCTGAACGTCAGGGGCGGGCCGGATCGCTCCCGTCGGGTTGGATTAGAAACGCACATGGTCCCGAGCAAAAATGAGGGTTGCGATGGCAGAGGGGAAAGCCAGGGCAAAGACTGGGGATTGGAACCGAAATGGTGCAGACGAAGAACTAGGGTTGGGATTGACGCCGTAAACGCGAAGGCTTAAGCCGGGGGAATGCCCACCTATAAGACCATGGGGGGCTATATAGCTCGTGCCCTCGGGTTTGATGTGTTGAATTTGAACCGCCTCGGACAAGTGCCGTGTGCTACTCATGTATCGCCTGCCTGCAGCGTTTCATTCGCCAACAGATCCCTGACCCTGTTTCTACCCTACTTTGATTGTGCGTAACCCCCTTGGCCTTGTCAAAATCCCAAGCTCAACCGCCAACTCACCGTAGTAGCCCCTCACATCAACCGCATCCTCAACCATCTGTGGAAAAACAAATATACAACCGGATCGGGGGGGGGGGGGGGGGTNNNNGGGGGGGGGGGGGGGGGGGGGGGGGGGGGGAGGTTCGTGACGCACAACTGTGTACGCTGCCAATGGTGGTGAGGGAATGCGGGTGCCAATTCCGCCGGTGGTCAGGAAATCGTGGGGAGGGTAGATTTCGCGGAAGGTGCAAGTATCCCCGGTCTGACGGCTTCGTTCTGCTTCAGTGTGTGGGCGAAGCGCGGACAACCCAGCCTGCGAAAGAAACAAAAATCGCTCGGGTCTTTACAGCTGAGGCAAGAGCTCGTGGGTTTCGCCCAAGAATGCCTCTGCCTTGCAAGAAATTGGCCACTGGAGAACAGCGGGACGGTCAGTGCAAAGCAAGATCCCGGAAAAGCATCCGTGCAAACCCAACAAATGAATAAAAAAGATCAGCTTCACGCCCCGAGGTTACCCGCATCGAGGAAATGCCGCCGAGGGCGTCGTTTGCGCCAGAAACGCGTGCGTCCTATGCTTGGGATCCTTGATCGGACCAAAACAGTCGGACACCACAGCAGTCAAGGCAAGCAGGTAACATCGGAACCCCCCTCCCCCCCTCGTTCAGCGGTCCCCCGATAGCGCTTTCTGTTTGCTCCTTGCGGTTTGGTTGTTCTCTCCGTCCGCAAGCAATAGAAGTGCCATAGTTGTGCATGTCATCCAGGTCTTCGCACTCTTCCTCAGTAAATCACAAATCTGCCTAGCTGAAGTAACTGTGCAAGACCAACACTAGCCATGTTCCAGGGACGACTCCGAGCGTCTCGTCCCATCCGCGTGGATACGGCCGGTGCGATCCTGGCACACAGAACGCGTCTTGCCTACGGGGTACTCCCACGGTGGGTCTATCGGTTATGGCGCAGGCTTCTTGAGTGACCACCTGTTCTTACGACCAACTTCCTACATACTCTTAAGGCTCAACTTTTTAACTGCTAAGGTTCACTAGAGGTGGCGCGTCCTGTTGACGCCGATCGATGCCTCTACTCACCGCCGTGACCATGGACGTGATGTAGCCGTGGTAGTACGACCGCCTCGCCTCGTCCTTCAACGCCTCCTCCAACTCCATTTCGTCTTCGCCGGCCCTGCCGGTTGGCGCGACGGCGTAGATTTGAGCGAGACGGACGAACAGTGGTCAGTACGATACAGACTAGCGCTGTCCTTTTTCGTGTGGACACCTATGCAGGCAAATCAGCCTTAACCCTGGCGGTCTTGATTGCGTAGATCTACACAGAAATAGAAAGACAGGTAAAAAGAAAGGAAGAAAGGAAGAACGAAACTATTAAAGAAAAACGCTACTAATGTAACCCGAGACTGTAGAGTCGTGGAAAAAAACACCGCATGCAGCGTGCGGTACAAACCATACACTGCACCATATCCATACCATTTTCACCTACCCAGCTGCAGGACGGAATACCCATGGTGTGGAATATGCGTGTGTTCCGGGGTGGGCAACAACAAGCAAATTACCACTTTCTTTTCACAACCGACCCCTTGCGAACGGAGTTCCACATACCTGTCCACGCCGTTCTCCGTGATGAAGATGATGGGTCGGCCATACCGCGAAGCAACCCATACCAGCAGTGGCCGGAACCCCTCGGGGGCAATGGTAAGCCAGTCTGTTGCCGCGGCGCCGCCGTTCATCGTTCCGTTCAGGTCCATCTTGTTTGCCGTGCAATATTAGTTTCAAGTTTTATGCAAAAGGGGGTCACAACATCGACGGATACACGCGTGAGTGGTGGGTTGGGTGCCGTTGAATGAAGAGGGAAGCAACAGCAGGGTTGAGGTTAGCGCGAAGTCGCCAAGACGTTGGACCCGGAAAAGTCTTGTGATCAGGCCGCGAAGGACGAGGGTTCTTGCAGCAAGAGGGCAGTCGTGCGGACGATGAAATTCAGAGTGAGTATATGTGTGTGTGAGAGAGAGAGAGAGAGCGAGAAAGAGAGAACAGAGTGCGAGAGCCGAAAGTTCAAAAAATGTCATCGTCGCTCGGAAAGACTTGGACCCGATCGTCAAGAACATACGGTGTGAGGAGGGAGGGCGAACTAACACATAACACGAACCTTTTGTGCGAAAAAAGCTGGGCACCTTTCATTTGCCGCTCATGGTTCTATATGACATACATAGAATGAGGAGATACAGCAGCAGGTAGGACCAGGAAGCAGAAAGAAGAGTCCAGCAACTGCAGTTTCAGAGAAGGAGGAAGTGGCCTTGGATGCGTGAGTAAGCCAGTCCATCAGGCGAAGGCACTCTAGGCCTGCCAGACAAGGAATGATAGTCACGATAACGAAGCGGCACTGATCACGTCGTGTAACGATGGATGCCTGCGAACCTGTCAAAACAAACATCCCAAACAGTTTTCTTTTCTCTTCCGCCAACCGAATAAAGATGAAAGGCAAGCAACGAAAAAAACAGACTTTTTGGTCTGCAAAAAAACAGCCGGCGACGAACCTTCATACACACAACAGATAATTCTCGATATTGAGCATAACACGCAGTCTAGTTCCCGCTAAAGAGACACCAAGAGACGAGAGAAAAAAAGTCGAACCTTGGTCTGGATGGCACCAATGTCCATAGCCCACCCGTCGCCCGGAGGTGTCTCGGGAAGCGTGATACCGGCGGCGCGGGCCTTCGCCGGCGACGTTCCCTCTCGTGGCGGGTCTTCATCGGGGATGTCGGTGTAGTACCTGTGCAGTTCGCACGACGTTGTGGCAAAAGGGGGGAGGGGGGGGGGTTGCTTGCAAGTCCACACATGGGTGTACTCATAGTCGTGCATGCCGTAGTCGTTAGACCATTGACCTCGCATCCCTACAAAGCCGGGACGGAGCACGCCGGGTTCTCACCGGACCAGGCTCTCACATCACCAAGCGCGAAGCGCCGTGAGATATTCGGCGAGTCGCATGAAGGGTGCGCTGCATCCTGCTAAGGGTGTTCGGCATCTTGTGCTTACTTCCTTGCGTACGGATGACAGCTGCGTATGTATGACTTAAATGTATTTTCTGGTGCTTTCACTTCCTGAGAAAGTTGTAAGCACTGTGTAACTGCCTCGATGGTGCTTGACCATGTTAGCACAACGTGATGCGATCATCCCCCTTGCGCCGCGTGAGGGTTCTCGACCCCGCACAACATTATCTAATCGACCACCATTATGGTTACCGCCAAACAAAAACAGAGGTAAAAAAAACGGTAACCTGGTTGCCGAGTTCACGAAGTGNATGTATTTTCTGGTGCTTTCACTTCCTGAGAAAGTTGTAAGCACTGTGTAACTGCCTCGATGGTGCTTGACCATGTTAGCACAACGTGATGCGATCATCCCCCTTGCGCCGCGTGAGGGTTCTCGACCCCGCACAACATTATCTAATCGACCACCATTATGGTTACCGCCAAACAAAAACAGAGGTAAAAAAAACGGTAACCTGGTTGCCGAGTTCACGAAGTGAATTGGCTTGTTTTACAACGTCGTTGTCAAGCGACGAAAACGCAATCCCGATGGCAAACACCGAGGGGGAGGCAATAGAACACACACGTGGGGAGGGGGATTATTTCGGCAGTTTCATTCTCCTCTAGATGATTGATTACCTCTAAATAATCTCGCTTGGCTTGCGTCGTTCGAATAGACGCAGGCGTACGGTGAATGAAGTCTGAAAATTGTGTGGAGTCTGAGAAATTAATACCTTGAGTGCGTGCAGGGCGTCACACATGTGGGTCATGTAAGCGAAAAAAAATTCACTAAATAAAAGGAGCACCGTAGGAGCAAGCAGATGCTACGTACTTTTTTCGCCTCCATAAACGGGCGCGCGCATCATAGGTCAAGAGGCCCGCCCATTCACTAGTCTAAATCAATTACGACAAGCACCCGCCCCCCCCGCGGCCAATCTCGTGTTCTTGTCATCTCTTCGCCAGGACGTGCAACCGTTCGTCTCGAGGGGGGGGGGGGGGGGGGNGGGGGGGGGGGGGGGGGGGGGGGGGGGGGGGGGGGGGGGGGGGGGGGGGGGGGGGGGCTGTCGCGTTGCCCCCCTCAACCCGACTATCGAGCTGTACGTTTGATCGTTGCAACCCTTTCCTGTGCTCTGATTATCAAACAGCAAACCAGAACGGCAGAACGACAACCGCAATAACCCTTTCTCGCGCTCCGATTATCCGACAGCAAACCAGGCCTTCTCGTTTGGTGCTGAGTGAGGGTCCGGTGAGAACCCGGCGTGCCCCGTCCCGACTTTGTAGGGATGCGAGGGCAACTGTCTAACGACTACGGCATGCACGGCTATGAGTACAACCCCCCCCTGAAAGTAGGAAGGAACGACTATCATCGGTGATCGGTCCTAGAACAACATGCTCCGTCCTCTCGAGAGGACGCGTGTGGTGGCCATTGGTCTAACCGCAACGGCATGCAAAACACGAGAGTGCACCCCCCCCCCCCCCCCCCCCCCCCCCCCCCCCCCCCCCCCCCCCCCCCCCCCCCCCCCCCCCCCCCCCCCC